AAAGATGTAATTTTATTTAAAAAACTTGATAAAATTTATTTACATACAAACTTTATAAATATTGTGTATCATATAGCTATAATTACGTTATAATTAATATAACGATATAGTGTTAGTTTATTGTTTTTAAAAAAAAGTTTAATTTAATATTATCTTATGAATTATATGTAATTATATGTAATTATATGTAATTATATTTAATTATATGTAAGTAATAAATTAAATAATATTTAAAATAATAAAGTGTATATATATATATATATATAAATTTCGGGTAAATATGAGGTTATATTGTTTATATTAAAAAATTTTTAATCATTTTTTAAATAAAATTACATCTTTTAAAAATGAATAAGTACATCTGAAATATAAAATAAATTGAATATTTTATTGAACAATAATTTCGTATTTTTAAAAAAAAAATTATTTAAAAACATAGACACATATATAATAAACATCAAACTTTATTTTTAAACAATATCTTATTTTTTAATAGTATTTGATTAGAATTTATAAATATCAAATATAATTAATCATAAACAAAATTTAATTTTATTTTAAATCAAATTTCAATCTCAACACAATTTAAATTTTGTCTTAATATATAAATTGTTTATTTGAATTTCATTTAAATGAAATTGGATTTCATTTTATTTTTAATTGTATTATGTTTTAAATTGTTTATTATTCTATAATGATTATGGTTATTTATTATAATTATTTAAAAAACATTCATTATTAAAATATTCATTACTATAGAAAAAATTTAAATTTTTTTATAGCACATATAAAAAATGTAAATGCATACATTTATATTGCATATAGTATATAATACTATATAATACTATAGTATATAATATATATATATTAAAACAAATTAAATACAATACAAAATATCATTTAAATTAAATACAAAAATTTAAAAGATTATTAAAATTTTTATGATTTAGTAGATATTTTTTAATATAATATGTAAATGATTATAAATGTTGTCATGGAAAGTAAATTCTTCCATTAAAGAAAAAATTTAAATTGCCAAATATGTTTTTTATGGCATCATTATCATTTGTTTATGACATTTTATCTTTATTCATAAATCTTCTCGTTTTGATTTATTTATATTTTGATGATCGAATATAATTGTAGAATTTTCCGTATCACTTACATATCCTTGTTCACCTGTATAATGTGTTGGATAAATTAATAAAGGATTTGCAGAAAGTATAACTAAATTTCGTTTTGGATAGTATATTTTCCAATCTTTCCTATATAAAAAAATAGTTTTAATATATATATTGCAATAAAGTTAAAAAATAAATAAAAATATATTTTGAAAATTGTAAATAATAAATAAATAATAAAAGGTATTTTATTAAATTTTTATTTACCTAGGATGAACATCAGATAATATAGGAAGATATTCATCAACAGGTATCAATTGTTTTAATGGCATTGCTTCAATTAATTTCCTTGCACCACTTGCAGATAAAATATATCCTAATGTCCAATAACTATAAGCAGCTTGTACTAAATATTTTGATTCATCAATCCAAGGTTCAATATTTTCTGCTAATTTTTTTCTTCCCAAATAACTAATATAAGATATTAAAATCATTGATTCAAAATCAAATATTGTAATTTACATAAAATTGGTATTTAATTAATATTAAATGAAATTTTTTAAATGTTAAATACTTACACTAAATCCCATTCTAAATGAAGATCCTTCAATTCTGTTAAAATGTAATTTAACTTTTGACAAAAAAATGGTTCAAACCGAACATCATCTTCTAAGATAATGACACTTTTAAAATCATTTTCTATTACCTAATAATTTTCCGATTTTTTAATATAATTTTTATATATAATTTGATTAAAACAATTCATTTTTTGAATTTTATAATTACCTTATTCCAAATATTATAATGACTCAAAAAACAACCAATTTCACCCATAGTCATTGGGCTATAATTTGATATTTTAATATTAATTTTTTATATTATTTGAGTTCAATTTTTCAATTTTTATCATATACTTACCGATCATGATAGGGATCAGTATATTCTGGCATTATTTTTATTCCCATTTTTTCAAGAATAGATTGATTTAACGCCCTAAATAAAAAACATAATTTATAAGATAAAATTTTTTAAAATATTTGCTACTTAATTTTTTCGCTATATTCGATGACAACATTTGTTTATATTTTTATATTTTCGTTTCTCACATATAAATACTATTATTTCAACATTGACATTACATTAAAATATGATTGATATTACATTTATTATTACAATATTATATTTTGGCAATAGCGTTTTCGTATAATGACAGAATTATTTTCTATATATATATATATATATATAATATATATATATATTTTATAATATATACATATATATTACAATATTAAAAGATATATATTCTTATATATTTTATTATATTTTATATATTTTTTGTAATATATATATAAATTTAATATCTATAAATTTATTCCTGTGTCCATAACTTACCTACCATCAACAGCATCATGTGTTTCCACTCGAATTCCAAGTTCTTTAAAAAGTTTGTGCATCCTGTTACGTCTTTCTGGTCTTCTCAAAAGATTTATCATATAAATATTATCCACTTGTAATGTATCATCAGTAGGATATTGTACAAATTTTTTGAGATATATTGACAATGGAAGATCATTATTATCGGCTAAAAAAATAAAAATTTTATGGTAAATGAAGATAAGAATAGAATAAGATTATAACTTTTTTTTTATTTTTATTTTCGTTATTTTCTATTTTAAATTAAATTACTTTTAACTTACATAATATTTCTGTTTTGATATTAGTCAGTCTTTGTAAATCTTCGGCGATCGTTTCTTCTTCTTCTAATGGAACCATAATAAATCCATAAATATTATCGTTACAAATAAATAATGGCACACCTAACATAAATGTAAAAAAAATTATTGAAAAAAATATGAAATTTAATTTTAGGAAAATTTTAATTTACCAGTTTTATTAGCACCAACAGCAAAAGTTATTATATCGTCAGTAGGACCGTTATATTGATGTAATTTTTTCGGATTATATGTCAAAAGATCCGAAATCTGCTTTCTTAAATCTATAAGAACCGCACTATGAATCATAGGTACATTAAAACATCCTTTTTTTTCTCGAAACAAAATTGGTTCATATTCTTTTGTTCTTAAATAATAATAATCACTAGTCATTCCAGCCCAAAAATTGCTATATAAGCCATCAGATTTTAACAATGGAGCAATTACAATTTGATTCTTTAAGATCAATTCATCAAGAGTATTTGGATTTGTTAGAAAAACATCCGCATCGAGCATCTGAAATTGAATAAAAAATAAAATTAATAATACAATAATAAACAATAATAAAAACATTTGAAAAAATAAAAAAATTTTAAATTAAAAGATTACTATTTCATTAAAAATAATTTATTAGAAAGAAATTAATTTTTTACCCAAATAAAATCTGCCCACATATTTCTTCCCGCCTTAAGCGCTTCTTCGCGCAAATTAATCACATGCAAAAATCTTTGCGCCGACCAATTTGTAATTCCGTTCTCATCATCAAATCCTTTTGATTTTTCATCAAAATTTATTTGAACTCCATGGTATTTATTACTTTCATTATTTAACCATGCAGATAATATTTCAATTGAGTTATCAATATTATTATCACTACGTATCCTTTTAAAAATATATATATTTTAAATTTTTAATTAAAATAATTTTCAATTATATAATAATTAAATTAAATTATTCAATTAAATAAATAATTTGCGAATTTAAAAATGTATATAAATGTTAAAAAATAAAATATATGTTTATGATGGTAAATAAAGATTTAAATATAAAATATAAATATGTTTCATCTGTTGATTGCGCATCAATTAATATCTATCACAGCGGGAAATTACAATTTTTGGATACAATTCAATATGATTAAAAAATTTAATCAATGATAATCTAAAATATTATTGATGAATTATATTTAGTTGTTCATAATTTTATTATATTCATCAATAATTTTATTATATTGATTCATTCGAAATATATTTTATTAAAATATAATTTAAGTAAAATAAGTATTATAGATCAATTTATGTA